TGGGCCTCCGACTCCTCATTGCTGCTGCCAGGCCTGGGGGGATCTGTCATGGGCCCCCTGTACCGCCTCCTCATGCTGCTGCCAGGTCCACGAGTGTGTCATGGGTTGCTGCTGTTCTCCATGCCACACTCTGCCTGTACTCCTCACACTTTAGGCCTCATTAGGGTGCAATTGCTGCTGTTCTGCCAGGGGCCCCCGTAACTCCTATGCGGCTGCACACTCTGCCATGTGTGCCACCACAAGTTCAGGTCTCCTCACTGCTGCTGGTGGGTTCCATTTTTCCATTTTGTCATAGGGTGCTGTATGGGCTCCCATGCTGCTGCCTGCTGCCATGGCCGTAATCTGGCTGCCATGGGCCCCTCGTACCGGACTCTCATGCTGCTGCCAGGCCCGGGTAACTCTGTCATGGGCCCTGTACAGGTCTCCTCATGCTGCTGTTACAGGTCCAGAGTGTGTCTCATGGGTAATCTGGTCATGGGCCCTGTACGGCCTCCCATTGCTGCTGCCAGGTCCATCGCCACAATCTGCCATGTCTGCCACTTTCAGGTCTCCTCACACTTGCTGGTGGGTTTCCATTTTGTCATAGGGTGCTGTATGGCTCCAATTGCTTGATGCCAGGCCCGTAATCTGCCATGGGCCCATTCCTCATGCTGCTGCCAGGGCCCCGTAATCTGCCTTGGGCCCCGTGTACCGCTCTCATGCTGCTCATGCATGCTGCCTCCCAGCTGCTCCAGGTCAGTGTCTCATGGGTCCCTACTGTCTACGGCTCTCCATTGCTGCTGGGCACCTTTACTCCATCTGCCAGGTCACTCTGCCATGTGCCACTTTTCAGGTCTCCTCACACTGTCTGGTGGGTTTACAGGTCCATTTTTGTCATAGGGTGCTGTATGGCCTCCCATTGCTGCTGCCAGGCCCGTAATCTGCCATGGGCCCCCGTACCGGACTCCTCATGCTGCTGCCAGGCCCGTAATTCTGTCATGGGCCCCTGTGTCTCCACGCCCACTCATGCTGCTGACACTGAGGTCCACATGTGTCATGGGTGCTGTACGGCTCCCAATTGCTGCCATAACGTCCCATCCAAAACAATCTCATGCCATGTGCCACTTTTCAGGTCTCCTCACACACTGCTTTCAGGTGGGTTTCCATTTTTGTCATAGGGTGCTAAGTATGGCCACATTGGACTGCTGCCAGGCCCGTAATCTATGCCATGGGCCCCCCGTACCGACTCCTCATGCTGCTGCCAGGCCCGTAATCTGTCATGGGGCCCCTGTACTGCCTCCTCATGCTGCTGCCAGGCCAGGTGTCATGGGGTGTCCCCGTACCGGCTCTCTAATTGCTGCTGCTCCGTCGCCTTTTAATCTGTCATGGGCCCACTGTACCCGCATCCTCACACTGCTGCTGCAGGTCCATTTTGTCATTTAGGGTGTGGGAGAATTTTAGGGCCCTCCCATTGCTGCTGTCCACGGCCCTATCCACACTCTGCCATGTGCCCCCTTTCACCGCCTCCTCATGTGCTGCCAGGTTCCATTTTGTCATGGGTGCTGTATGGCCTTCCCATTGTCTGCTGGCTGCCAGGCCCGTAATCTGCCATGGCCCACCGTACCGGTTTCTCCTCATGCTGCTTCCATTTTGTCATTAGGTTGCGGGCAGGCCCGTAATCTGTCATGGGCCCACATGTACCGCCTCAACTCATGCTGCTGTCCAGGTCCACAGTGTGTCATGGGTCCCTGTACGGCCTCCCATTGCTGCTGTCTCCATCGCCACACTCTGAGTGCCATGTGCCACTTTCAGGTCTCTCACACTGCTGGTGGGTTCATTTTGTCATAGGGTGCTGTATGGCCTCCCATTGCTGCTGCCTCCACCGCCACACTGTGGCTCCTCACACTACTGGTTTTGGCCCCGTGACTGCTCCAAATGAGTGAAGTCGTGCGGTGTGCGGTGATTCTAAGATCGGCGGCACTCATCTGCATGTCATACTGACTGACTGTAAATTATTTCTCTTCCCAGCAGACTCCAAAGGGCATTTAAATTAAAGGTTACAGTGTTCTGCACATAATATAAAGGCTCTCTGAAGCTAGAAACACCTTTTTATTAAGTTAAATTCGCAGCGAATTATATTCGACTCAAAATCAAATTTTTTCCGACGAATTCGCCCCTCCCCCCCCCCCCCCCCCACCCCCCCCCCTGAATCAGCCGAATCGAATTTTTGAATAATTCGCTCATCTCTAATAATAGCAATATAATTTATTATTAGCCCACCCAAGTATACAACGCACAGTAAACAAACCGCAACCTTCACTAATCTTAGTATGTGCAGGAACACAGGCGTAGTCAGGGCTGGAGAGGTGGAATGGTCAGGCCAGGTCATATGGTGTGAGCAGGGATGGCTGGATCCGTGCAGGATGGATGGATGGATCGTCTGGGTAGCGTAAGGCGTAGTCAGGCAGGCCAGGTCAGCAACGTGCGGGCAGCGAGGTACCGAAGGAGCAGGCAGAGAATGGTCAGGGTCACAAGCCGGGTTCAGTAACTCACGGGCAGCGCGGTACAGAGGATCAGACAGAGAATGGTCAGGGTCACAAGCCGGGTTCAGTAACTCACGGGCAGCACAGTACAGAGGATCAGGCAGAAGGATGGCCAGGCAAGCCAGGGGTTAAACAGGAGACAGTCAGCAGGGTCAGGAACAATGCAGAGGTCGGCAACAGAGAGGAACAGGAACACAGGATACCAGGTACAGGGGCTCATGGGAAACAACACCAAGGCCCTGACTGCAGGCCTGGCCATTCCTTAAATGCACCTCCTGCAATCAGCCTCAGGTGATGGCTTGATTGCAGGAGTGAGCTTCTGGCTGCTGAGAGCACCCGCTGGCCAGCCCTAGTACTGCAGCCCGCATGGCAGGTGAGTTCCACCACCAGTGGTGAATCCATTCCTGACAGATTGTATAATCAGATTATAACATATGTGACCGCTTCATATCACACTGCCTATTGATTGGATTTTTCTCAGCGTTGCCTATTTTTGTTCGTGTTATACATAAGATGTGTGCATTTATGAGCAAAACATTTCTTAAGCAAATGTTAATTTTCATTAAACACTAACTGTCCTCATATGTTTTTTTACAGACAGAAGAAAGACCTTTTTAGATCTATTAATGCAGTTGAATTTGAAAAGCGATAAGAAATTAACATTGGGTGATGTCCTTACTATTGGACCAGAAAGTCTAGAGGATAACAAGCCCAAGAAGATAGAAGACCTTCCCTGGTATTTTCTAAGGAAGTTAATGGCTGTGAACGTAACTGCAAGAAACACTTTAATTGAAAATGATTCAATATGTGCAGGGTCAAAGGAAGATGATGACCTTTCTGAATTTTTTAACATTAAAGTTAAACATTATTCACTTTCTGTTCACCCTCTGGATGTCCTATGTGCTCTCCTCCATTGCTCAGACAGTTTTGTTCAGGGAGAGATTGTAACCAAATTGTCCATGTGTCAGTTTGCTGTCCCCCTGCTACTTCCTGCTGATGACGGGTCACACTGCACCCTCATGCTGGGGGCAATGAGAGATATAGTAAAGCGATGGAAACCTAATTCACTAGCTGACAAAAAAGGGTTTAGAGAAGAAAATGTGGTCAACATACACATGCCAATGTTTTCTTTTGTTCGGCTGGGAAAAAGCAAATTATCCAAATCTAAAATCCTGAACCAAGTTCTTAATCCAGTTCAGCAACATAACAACTTCTTCATTCACCATGATATGGAGGGAGGAAATATTGAGAGGAAAATATCTGATGGCCTTGTGGAAATGTCCTGGTATTTTCCCTGCGGTAAGTCTGATGTTTTTCCCCAGAACCCATCGCTGTCATCACCAACCTTCGAGGAGACCTGGAGACCAACTGGGACCAGTTCATGTTTCTGGCGCGAGTCTCATCAGCTGTATTTATATTGATTGAGAATATTTCTGAGAGGAATTCAGACTGTTATCATCTTGCAGCACTGCTAGCACCCAATATTACTTAATTGTGACTCCCGGTCCTGGTATAGAAATTAAACGCGAGACACTGCAATACCTAAAACAACTAATGCCAGTATTAAAACTTAGATAAAACAAGAATATTAGCAAATGCACAAACAGAGAATAATGTAGAATTTGTGAAGCGGATACAAAAATGCATTAGTATCTTAATTAACAATAAACGGGTACTACTGGACTATGTGGGGAAAGAAATTCATGACTTTGCTATTGTTGTAGATGAAAACTCTCTTGAATGTCAGAAAGCAGAAGAGTATGCACGTAATATGACTGCTGCAATAGAAAATGTGGAAGAATTTAAGAAGAAATCACTGATACTACAAGGAGATCTGTGGAAAAAGCTGTCGGAAATTGAAAAAGAGCAGTGCAGAATGAAAAGACAAGGAGGAAAAGATACACAAGAATATCACTCTGAACTGGAATTGCAACGCCATTCAATACGCACCGCACAAAATAAGCAAAACCTGCCAGACAGCCTAGTTTTATTTATAAATGCAATAACTAATTTGACACAAAAAGAAAGACAAATGTTTTTAAAACGGACAAAAGGTATGCTAGATTCAATTACTAGAAAAAAATCTTTTGTTGTTGCAAGAAAAATACAAAAAATATTATGAGGGAAATAGAGAAGAACTTAAGCAGTTAGATCAATGTACCTCCTACAACTGTTTTAGGAATTGAACACTTCATTAGGGAGATAGGGCAAATTTATGAGGCTGAGTGTTATGTGAGTAGGTACAACAGTGCTAGAGAAGAGAAGAGACAATTTAAGGGGCTTCCAGGAGAAGCAGCCAATCTTCTGTTGGATGGTTTTCCATTAGAACTGATTGATGGAGATGCCTCTAACATTCCCATGCAATGGATAACTGATATTCTGACCGAGCTGGACAACAAGACAGGAGGACAATGTAAAATGAGAGTCGTATCTGTACTAGGAGTGCAGAGTACGGGGAAATCCACCCTTCTCAACACCATGTTTGGTTTGCAGTTCCCGGTGGCCAGTGGAAGATGTACAAAAGGAGCCTTCATTAGCCTTTTAAAAGTGAAAGAGAACTTCCAGGAGGAACTGGGTTGTCACTTCATTCTGGTTATTGACACTGAGGGGTTGAAAGCTCCAGAGTTGGCCTCTTTGGAGGGCAGTTATGAACATGACAATGAACTGGCCACACTAGTGGTTGGTTTGAGTGATATCACCATCATCAACATGGCCATGGAAACCACAACAGATATGAGGGATATTTTACAGATTGTGGTCCATGCTTTTCTTCGAATGAAAGAAGTAGGGAAAAAACCCAACTGCCAGTTTGTACATCAGAATGTCAGTGATGTGTCTGCTCATGATAAGAATATGAGAGACAGGAAGAAACTTCTGGATCTGCTGGACAAAATGACAGAATTGGCAGCAAAAATGGAAAAGAAGACTGGTATAATGACTTTTGGTGATGTCATGGATTATGATTTTGAAAACCACAACTGGTACATTCCAGCATTATTTCAAGGAGTGCCACCTATGGCTTCAGTAAACATTGGCTATAGTGAACATGTTCATGAATTAAAAAAATTTTTATTTCAAATAATGAAAACCCAAAAATCTACTGTCAAGGCACTCAGCATTCGAGAATTTATTGTCTGGATGGAAAATTTATGGAGGGCCGTTAAGCATGAGAAATTTATTTTTTAGTTTCAAAAACAGCTTAGTGGCGGATGCCTACAACAAACTTTGCAGTGAATTTTCTCAATGGGAATGGCAACTGAGCAGAAAGGTCAACAATGTGGTGACCAACATAAAAAATGATATAAAAAATCACTCTGCAGACACTCTTGATGCCAAAACACATGACCAGTATGACCAAGAACTTCAAAACATTCTAGGTGATGAATTCAGTAAAATGATGGAATTGCTGAAAGATTATTATGAGAATAAAACTGAAAATAAATTAATAGAAGAATACAGGGAAACATTTGGAAATAAATATATCTGTTCTAATACAAAATCACCAAAGAAATGCACTTAATAAGTGTAGAGAGGCTTTTAATATTCAAAAAGGAAAGTCAGAGATTCAGGACATTCAAAATGGATACCAGAAAGTGATTGAAGATAAAATCACGGAGCTTCTACAACTCAGAAGTCAGAAGGGGGAACTCAATGATGAAAGAATTACAGAAGAAATTTAACACAATGTGGGAAAATATACTCTCTCAGATTCACACTTTGAGAAAATAAAGAGACGCAACATAAGCAGAGAAATGTTTTTGTGAACTCAGAAAGGACATGAAAAATAAAGAATCTGCTGTACAAGAAAAATTGTATCAGATCAACAATTTTGAAAAGTATGCAGACATGCTTCGGATACAAAACAAAAACTACATTGATCTGTCCCAGATTACAAAAATACATGGTGTGTTGTTGTTTTCTGGCCAAGAACACCATCAAACTTTAGATGATTTTGCACAGTCACTAATTGAAAGGGTGCAATAAATATGTGACAGAAAAAGTTAAAAGCTCCGAAGACTATACAGATATGTACTGTAAGGATTTACTGCACATGATCAATGAAAACTTTAACACACACAGTAAAAAGCTGCACTTCACCACCATATTTGAGCTGGATATCAAACTTTTCATTTTAGCAAAAGCTGCACAAAGTTTTGAAAGGATGCATGAAAAGTTCATAGAAGAGAATGACCCCAAAACCTACCTGAATAGACTGAAGCCTCAGTATTTTTTGATGTTTCAGAACATTTTCCAAGAAAAAGATGAATGTCAGAGCAGAGCCAAGCTCTTCTGTGAGAGCTATCTTGAGCCGGCTATTTATAACCACATTTTTGAACACCTTGGTGAAAAAATTGTTGATGATATCCTAAGCAGTTCTGACAAGCAGGTCTTCACCAGTAGAACATGTTTTCAGTTTACCGTCCTGCATAGTCTGCTTGAAGAGATGTCATTTGAGAAATATCTTGGTTACATTCAATCATATGAACAATTTTTAGCTGACTGGATACTTCAGTACATCTTACGCAAATACCGAAATCCTTCAACTCTCAGAAGATTTGAAGAGGAAATTTTAAATTCCATCGAGAAAAAGATCACAGACGTTCTTAATGATGAAAAGTGTCTACAGAGTGAAGACATAGGCAAATATTTAGATAATGTTTGTGAAATGCTAAAGCGAGAATTAGTAATTAACAAGAAAGGATTGAAGCTCATCACATTCCACAGCAAAGCAAATGTTGGAGAGTTCTCATCATACATCAAGTCATTTGTACAGGAAAAGAGAACAAATACTTTGTCAAATTTTCAGTCCATAAGAATCGAATGTATACTTGAACTGATCACCCTGAAACCTCAGGAAGAACTGCTCAGGAAGGTGATTGGCTGTGGGCAGAAGTGCCCATTCTGTAAAGTCCCCTGTGAGGATGGAGGCATAAATCATCAAAAACACTTTGCATTATCCATAGACCAGATGGGTTAGGAAAATTAAAAATGAACAAAACAAACGCACTGTCCACTGGGATCTGTACCACGTCTGTGGCTTCTGGGGACAAATTCAAGAATCCAGATACACAGTGGAATTTTTACAAATATAAAAACTACAAAAAAATTTACCCAAATTGGGAGATAAAACCTGACTTGCACAGAGGCGACAGACTACTGGAAGTTCATTTTTGTGAAATTTAATGAGGAGTTTGCAAAAGAATACGAATCTGAGCCAGCTGTACTGCCCAAACAGTGGGGGCTAATAACCAAAGAAACAGCTCTTCATAGCTTAAAAATGGTGTATTTTTAAGCATTTGATGAATATCTAGAATACTTACTAATGGAATTGGAAACTTTTACAGCTAAGTACAAGTCAAAATGCTTAAAAATGGTAACAACAGCAAAGGACTCTTCCATGAATAACTCGCCTGCCACTGACTGTTTTATTCCCAGTCTCTCAATTCTTCAGGACAACCAGGATGATAAATAAACGAGAAAAAAATAAAAGCAGCCATGCTTAGCAAGGATATTGATGACAACAGACCAGAATCCATCCACTTGTGTCTACAAACCACCATGGGTTGTGGTCCAGTAGGGGCAGCTGAGAGAACATGTTTCTCTACAGACTGAAAAACAACAATGCCCAAAGGAGCACTGTGATATATAGGGGACTGCACTGTAGATGGGCACTGTATTCATTACAGTGCAGTCCCCTATATATCACAGTGCCCCTTTACATTACAGTGTGGAGAACCGACTCTGCAAATATCCTGTCCGTCACCAACCGCCCCCACAGACCCCCTTCCCTTCGGTCCATGAAAAAAAAAGTAGTTGTCATTATTTGTAATTTGTTTTTTTTTTAAATGTGGGCTAATCAGTCTAAAATGCCCAGGCCTATTTCTTTTGTCCCAGTCCCGGCCTGGTTGGGAGGGTACAACTGGCACTGGAACCCCTCCAAGCTGTACCTGCTTCCACCTGATGGTGGTGGAAATGGTGCTGATGTAGCAGTGTGGTGACTTTCAGCTGTTTGCCATCCTACATTAAAGGTTCTCTTGGACTGTGACTGGAGAAAGAGATGAGGACTGCAGCACCACCCCAAAGAACTGAAATCTGAAAACAAGTTTATGCCAATAAAAACTAATCTACATAATTAGCCAATGAAATAATCAGCTGCTGCTGAGTTTTGCCTGTGGAAATCCTGTTAATTTTCCTAACCCAAATCCAATAACTAAGACCTTCCATCCATTCTTCAGCTCTAATGAGAGGCATCTCTGAATCCTCGAAACACGTTGGACATTTGTACAGCTTCTATTAAACTTCAATTGAAATAAACTTGTTTTTCAGACTTCAGAGTTCCAATCCTTTTCTCTTTCTCTGGTATTTATTACTCTCTGTGTCCTTTCTTGGAAGATTCATCCTCTCCATAAATTGTACTATTAAAGGGATGAAAAAATCAAAAGTTGTTACTGGAAGATGAATAAAGGGGAAATCTTCTACTGAGGACACCTGCTCCAAGGACAACTAAAACCCCTTTCACACGGGGGGAGTTCTGTTTTTTTCATCAGTTCAGTCACATTTTTTCCAAGAAAAAACAGAAAAATTTACATCAGTTTTTCATCAGTTTTTACATTCATTTTTTATCCGTTTTTCATCATTTTACATTCATTAGTTTTACATCCGTTTTCATCCATTTATACCCGTTTTTGTCAGTTTGCATCCGTTTTCATCCATTTTTTGTCCATTTTTCATCCATTTTTGTCTATTTACATCCGTTTTTCATCTGTTTACATCAGTTTTTGTCCGTCTACCGTTTACTCATCCGTTTTTTTTTTTCCGTTCTGTTTTTTGTTAGTTTTTTAAAAAAAATAGGGTTTTCTTCCGTTCAAAAAAAAAGATGTTAACGGATGTGGACATTAACGGATGTAAACAGATGATCATCCACTTACATCCGCTAGTCCATAGAAATACACAGGAACCCGTTTTTCCTCTGTAAACGGACTGATGAAAAACGGACATATGGAACGCCCGTGTGAAAGGGGCCTAAAATTAGATTTTCTCTCACTTTGAAGAGATGTCCTTACGCTTCATGTTGAGTACACAGAACATGAAGTAAAATCTCCCAAAAAGGACAAAAATAAAAAAAATAGGTTCTAACCATGCAAAACCATACAAATTTGTTTAGAGATATACTATAAATCATGATGAATAGATTATATGTATGTATATTTCTCAATTTTTTTTTTAATTTTCTCTTATTAATAAAGCAATATTGTATTAGTTTCATTCATTATTAACAAATTGTAGTAGTTTTATTCTGTTCATCATGGCACCATTGGCTGGTATGTTTTTTAAATGATGATGATGATGATGATGATGATGATGAATCAGCTTGAACACAATGGATGAATGTGCTTACTGTTCTGGAAACCAGTAGACTGGTGTTGTCTTGAAACTGTCTATTTGCAATTATATGATAAATCAAATAGCCATTTTCATCTGTATATCTGTTATAATGCCTGAACAATGAGCGTTAAAGCTCTCAAAGCTTTTATTTTTAGTTATCCACCGAAAGCTTTCATTTTGACAATATTTTGCCTTCTCTATATGTAAGCCGGAATCATAAATGGACTTTGCTGATCGCAGTGTAATAAACAGAAATAGATGCTATGCAGTTAATGTGTCTTGTTTTTTATTGCATTTCCATGGTGACATTGTGATTTCACAGGTAACACAATCTGTAAACCTTCACAAGTCCATAGAGACATTGAAAAGTTTACAAAAACATCCATGTCTGACCAAACAACCACGTTTACTAAGAACTATACTATTTAAAGGAGACCTATGGCCAAAATATGGACATTCAAGAATTTACACATTTTTAGCAAGCAGTAAATGAGCTTTAACACAACTGCCTAGTAACCTCTGTAGCTGCAGATACCTGGAGTAATTCATCCTCAAAGTCACAGTAAAAGCACTGAAAGTGTAAAGACAACATTTTTATTATTTTCAATAGAGTATGGATTGGATAAGACTGCTGTTAAGTTTTTTTA